CCTCCTCCTCCTCACCTCCCAGTCGAAACGGAAATGATAGGGAGTGACGAAGCAGGGGAGCTTGCGGAGGCCGTCGGGCTTGCACATGAACTCAATCTCCTCCCAACCCGAGCTGCTCCCGTCCTGCCCATCCCGCGCCAAGGATAGCACGACCTCCGTCCTCCTCTTGGTGATCGACCCGAAGACCCCGTAGGCGTTCACGAGGAAGAGACTATCGAATGTCTGCAGCCAAGGATGCGAGCCGAACAAGTTGCCCACGGGCGACGCCCCGCCCTCCTCTTCCGGCACCACCGACTTGAGCACGATGGTCGCCGACACCACAACCGCTGCGGCCCGCGAGAAGAGAATGCGACGGTGGGGAGAGTGCTTGCCTGCAGGAGGAGCCGAGGAGAGAGGGAAGAAGAAGCTGTGCAGAAACTTGTCGTCAAGGCAGGCGAGGAGGGGGACGCAAGTGAGGTGGTTGAGGAAGGCGTAGTTGCCTGTAAGGGCGATGCCGAGCATGAAGAGGATAGAAGAAACTCCAGCAAACAGTCGCACAGCCCGGCAGGGGAAGAGGATCAGCCAGGGCACTGCCAGCTCCACCGCATGGTTGGCAACGACGCCGAGCTGGAGGGCAGCAGGAGGAGCATGGTGCATGAACCAGCCGAGGGGAGAAGGCGAGCCAGTCGTCTCGAAGTGGAAAGAGAGACAGTCGAGGTGCTCCCACCTCCAGCACGTCTCCTGCGCCATGAGCTTCGACCTCCCTGCTCCCAGCATGACGCGGAAAGCCAGCCAGCGGAGGAGCCAGAGGACGGTCCCCGAGGGCCTCCCGTCCGGGCAGAAGGTGGGGGAGAGGAAGATGAGGAGGAAGCCTGTCTCCAGGATCTGAAAGTCCCACCCATAGTGGAAGAAGTGCTCGGCATGCAGCGCTGAGCGGTAGAAGACAAGGTACAGCCCCCACAGCCCGACCGAGGCAGCAACATGATCTACCAGCCCCAGGCACTGAGCAGAGGAGAGGAGGAAGCCGGACCACCCGATGAGCTCCAAGCACGCGTCGTGGTCGAGGAAGAGGAAGCGCAGCTGCCCCTCCTCCAGCACCGGGGAGAGCCCAGCCCTGCCGACCAGGGGGCGACCTTGAAGGGCGACGATAAGAAAGGCCACTGCGTACACGAAGCCGAGGGAGCGAACGAGGAGGATCCTCAGCAGGTGAGTCTGACCTGCCGCTTCTGGGCAGGGAGAGCTGTGAAACACGTCATAGAAGGGCAGCTCTTCGTATGAAAGGTTGGATGCGACCAAGTCCCTCAGCAATGAAGCGAGATCAGATCCCTTGTTACTCCTCCTTTCCTTACCCTCCTCTCCTGCTTCTTCGCCCTGCCATTGGACTGTCACTCGCAGCTCCTTACACTGAGAGGACTGACCTCATGCCCGCGCAAGGACACCAGCTCTGCTTGCTTACTGCGCTGAAGCCTTTGTTGCCTTGCCTTGCCGGCCTCAACGATGCGACAAGTCTGGGATCGAAGGAGAGCAGCTAGCCTATTGAGGGGGAGGAGGAGCTGGTTCAGAGGGAGGATGACGAGCTTGTATATGAGGAGGAGGAAGAGAACGAGCATGGCGGCATTGTAGCCGACGCTCCACAGGCCCAGCAGCTCGGCCATTGCCCCCAACGCTCTCATTCCCGTTCTTTTTTTCTTTTACAAGTTTGACCACACATCTACCCCTCGATTCCCTTTTGACTACCCCCTTTCCAGAGGGTCATGGCTCAACTTGCGACGGCATGTTGTGTACAGGACGCAATCGGGATCAGAGGACACGAGGGGAGAGGCAGAGGATAGGGAAAGAGGAAGAGGGAATGGAAGATGACAGTGAGGGGAAGAGAGACTGAGAGGAGGAGAGACTGAGAGGAGGAGGGGAGAGGAGGAGACAAGGTCCATCGACGCTTTGACAGTTTGCATGGCACAACCGAATGAGAATCGGGATCGTCGTGCAATGAGCTACAGCTCATTGAGTTAACAGCGGCCGCTATCAGGAAGGAGGAGCAAGGTTGTATTGATACTCAGTCGGCTCCTGTACCTTGTTGATCGAGCATCTCGCATCTGGTTCACTCGGGGGATACCCTCCTATCCACCTTGGCAGCCATGACGCCAACACCTCGAATCTGCTCTTATTTCTTTGCGGCAGTCCTTCTCCTCCTGCTGAGCGCAGAGGTCCATGCAGCTGGAGCGAGCAGCTGCACCGAGGATGGAGAAGGTTGCTTCATGAGTTCCTTCCTGAGGAGAGAGGAGAACCTCAGAATGAAGCTCGACTCCCTCCTCCTCCGGCTGAACGGCCTCGTCAACGCCGTGCACGCGATGCAGTCAGAAGTCGTGTCTGTCCTGCAAGATCTTGGAGAGTGTCGGACGAATCATCCGAGGAGGAATGAGATTGTTGGCAGCGCTCAGAGTCAAGAAAAGTCAGAGCAAGCGGGAGATGGGAAAACGGAGCAAGGGGAGTCTGTCAAGGAATCTGAGAATCTTGCCCAGGACAGTTCGGAGGAGAACGGAGGACAGGCGGCTGCAGACGCTGAATCTTACCTTGCTCCTCCTGGGGAGAACGCCGAGACGTTCGGAGCTCGCTTGATCATGCCGGTTGAGCAAGAAGTGCTTCACGTCAACGCCCCGCACTACGTGATGGAGCTCTTCACTCCGGCGCGCGGGGATGCACTTGTGGAGATCTCCATCGACAACTACGTGGTCGTCAAGATCGACCTGCTCTGCTCGTTCAAGTGCAGCAGCAGCGGCGGCAACACGTACGTCAGCAGCACGGGGGGGAGGAGCGAGGCGGATTCCTGCCAGTGCCAGTGCACGAGGAACTGCGACTGCGGGAGGTGCATGCGGTCGACTTACAGCGAGATGGTCAGGATAGAGGGTGACGTCATCCAGCCCGGCCAGCATTCCCTAACGGTGGACCTGATGTCGGGGCAGCCGAGAACGAAGCAGATCCTGCAGACGTTCTTCTTCGTCGTCCCCGAGTGGCTCACTGCTTTCTCCTCCTTCCTCAACGAGACTGCCACCGTCCGCTCTCTCTCCCCAAACGTCATGCAGGCGACGCTGACGGCACCCGCACACGCCCTCCCCGGGCTAACGTACTCGATGCCGCCGGGGCATGCGGTCGGGGCAGGAGCGCTCTGGCCGGGGATAGCCATCCGCAGGCCGAGAGCAGGGGAAGTTTTCCGGCAGCGCTCGGGAGTTCGGGTAGAGCTGGAGCTGCTCGACTTCGAGTGGGAGGTGGACGGCTCCCTCCAGGCCTCCATCGTCTCCCAGATCAACGACGGGAGCTGCGCGGGCTTCTACGGCTGCCCCCTCAGCAGGCCGCTGCCGCTGCAGGAAGTGATGGACGTGCAGAGTAGGCACTCCAGGTGGGAGCTGCAGTCAGTGCAGGACTGCTCGTTGGTCAAGATCGAGAGCCTCCAGCTCCTACCGGGCTTCTACCGCCTGCAGGTCTACCTGACTGACCGAGACGGCCGGCAGATGAGCAGCATCCGCCATCGCGTGTTCTCCGTCACTTTGGACGCAGCGGGCAGCGGGGAGGAGGAGCAGGAGGGCGAGGAAGAGCGGTGGCAGTGCCCCAAGAAACACTGTGGAGCAGAGGTGAGGAAGGTGGAGAGGCCAGCGAGACCCTTGAGCCTCCTGCTCCTCACGGAGTGGCCTGCCATCGCCGGCATCAGCGCCAGCGCCGATCGGTGGCGAATGATGGTCGACGCTCTGTGGCAGCTGGGCCACTTGGTGCAGGTTGTGTCGAGGAACTGTGCTCCCTACCACGGGGACTACATCTCTAAGAGCCATCGAGGAGGAGGCGCGAGGTCGATCTGCGGCATCAGCAGCACCGACATCCCTGCCCTCCTGCTCGAGCTCGACAGGGTCGACGTGGTGCTGATGGACAATCGCTTCTTCCTCTTCCCGTCCGCTCGCAGCATCCCCCAGCAGTGGATTCCCTTCCTCCGCGAGAGCCCCAGGACGCAGGACGCGAGGCTGGTCGTCGTCTCCGACCAGCTCGTCCGCCCCAACGGGACGGAGCTGGACGACGCTTCCGATCGGCACATGCTGCATGCTGCTGGTGCCCAGCTAGTCGGGTTTGCTGCTGCCGATGTGATCGCAGTGTCGACTGTCGAGGATCTGCGGTGGATCGGGAGGGTTTTCTCCCCTGGAGCCCCAATCCTCCTCCTCCGCCACAGCATCGTCATGCCCAAGATCGAGCGCAGGACGCCCGGGTTCCGCCAGAGGAAGGGAATCCTGTGGATTGGTGGCGGCGTATCGTACAGCGCTGGGGAGCTGGAGCTGATATCGAAGCGAGTGCTCCCGATGCTGGAGGGCGAGGTGGGGGGAGGAGACAGCTTCGTCTTCGTGTTTGACGAGGAGCGATTCCCTGTGAAGCTGCCGGGAGTGAGCTTGTTGGAGCCGAGAGAGAACCTCAGAGAGGCTTTCAGCGAATTCAAGGTTTTGTTCCATGCTCTTCTTCTCTCCCCTCCTCCCATCTCTTCTGTCTCTTCATTGACCCTCCTCACCTCTCCCCTTCCTCCTCCTCCTCCTCCTCCTC